AGCAGGCTCATAACCTGTAGGTGATGAATTATGAGTTCAAGCGATGTTGTAACTACGTATTCATGTGATGATACTCTAACCCTTACTATGAATTACGAGTTCAGGCGATGTTGTAACTACGTATTCATGCGATGATACTCCAACCCTTACTAAGCGCATATTGAGGGGGTAATCCCCGAATCATTACTGTCTATGCGTTGTAGGCAATGATCCTTAGGAAAAGTACTTAGGAACGAACATATAAGGAAATGTGATGTAAAGAGATGAGAGGTAAATACGATATAGGAGATGACCCTTAAGATAATTCTCTAGGGAATATTAAATGAAGAAAATAGGGATGGGCAATCGGGTTAATTGTTTTACATGTATTATGTGAAGAAACAAATTAACTATATTGTGGGTTGAAAACCCTATGTACTCACCAGGTTTCCCAACCTGACCCACTCAAGGTTATTTGTATCACTGGTGTCGATACGAAACCACTTTACACTGAGAGATTAAGGAGATATAAATCACTAGTGATGATGAATGTAAGTTCTGTTTATGCTTATGTTTCTGTATTGACGATGACATCCCAAATGTTTTAAAATGAATAAAAATACTTTTCTTCGGAAATGCCTTATTTATCATGTTTTACTGGGAACAAATTCCGCAACATTTTTATTAAAAGAGGTACTCTGATTTTTATAAAGTATAAACAAAATCGGTCTTTTCTGGCCGTGAAAATGGGGATGTCACATACTCCGTTGAACATTATAGGCAAATTCACGACGGCCAATCAAATCATACACAATCCAAAAAACCTTCGTATAAGAACCTATAAACTGGAGTTCCTTGCAATCACTATCAAAATACTTGATATAATATTACAAATGTATCCTAACATATATACATAAACATGCCATAGACAACAACCACTCAAAGTGGTCTTGCGCTAACCACTACATAGAACAGGTTAAGAAATACACTTGTAAATAAATTGTACATTGTTTAAAGGAGTTAATGTGAATTAGATACGGGACACCAAAACACAATGCTACAAATACTTAAAAGTTAAAAGAGTTTTTTTTTTGAGAAATTTTAATAAATAACTAAGTTTTATTTGAAAAAAAACGAAGATATTTTTAGGATCGCAAGAGAACCAATGAAATAATAGACATGCATGTAGTGAAGAGAACAAAGAAAATATGATAGAAGCAAATAAACATCTTTTATGATATGTTAGTAGTTGAATTTAAACAAATACCGGAGACCAGTCGAATATTATTTATTGGATTAATGTGGAAAATTGATTATGTTTCCCTTGAATATGTGTATGGGAATGAGTTGAATATTCTTGTTAGTACTTAGTAGATATATATAATGAATGTGAACGAGTTGAATATTCTTGTGAGGAGATGTATATAATGAGAGGATGTTGAAAGTATTAGTCATGAGTTCAATTGAGCTGTTAATTATCAAACAATACTGATTTGGAATGGGCTTGTATGTAGATATATTATGAGGTAAAGTATAATGTCTAAAGAGGGGTGTTCTTGTTGATTGATACACTTATTTAAATCAAGTATTAACTTGAACAAATATATCATCTATGAAATATGCGATCTTATGGATTGTACGTTGAGACAAAAGGCTAAAATGTTACTCATTGCTTAATGGCTTACAATTATTTGTGAATAATGTTTACATGTAACAAGTTAAAGTACAAGCACCTAGAAACAACATATTAGTTAAAGAATAAAAATAACGACCGTTAAATAGTTCATGTCCATTTACCATATGGACTTTTTTATGTGAAGTTACGAAAAAACATTGTTGTATTGTTGTAATATGATAGATTTGTCACATTGTGACAAAATTTCGAAATCCATAGAAACATTCATTTGATATACAAGTAGTAAAATTATTATCATCTCTAAATATTATTAAAAGAGAACCTTAAATTCTACAATGAAGAAACAAGGGCCCTTGATTGCATTTCCCTCCTTTAGTCTCCACCTTAGGATCATTTTGCTGACATCATCCTAACCCAAAAAAATACACGCGCCTCCCGAATAAAACTTCCTTCTTACGATTCATTCCTAATTTCATTCTTAGGTTTTCTCTCCACACAATCAACACAATCAACCAAGAGCTATCGACATCCCCATGAAACTCAATAGATATGAACCCTAACCCCTTCCTTCTGCCGATATGCGTAACCCCATTGATTTCATATATACATGGAATCGATCCTATGTGTTCTACTTCTACTGATATGGAATCGATCCTATGCGTAACCCCAGGAAGCCCTGAGGGGCACCGCGTCGACCATCAACGATTTTCGATCCTATGTGTTCTACGCAGATGGCTTCGTTGTAAAGACCGCTCTCCGATTCTGCCCTTGGAGGCATCTGTGGTTGGTTGCCTTCTGAATCAACCTTTAAAAGA